CATTCAATGCACCTGTGGAGAATTTGAGATGATGGGTTTACTATATTCTCATTGCATGGGAATTTTAAGGCAGTTAGATATTATGAATATCCTTGAAAAGTACCTTCTACTACGATGGTCAGCAAGAGCTAGGAAAAATATATATGTTGCATTCATCGGTACATGAAAGACATCTGATGCTAGTAGTTGATTAATATTTAAAAATTATATTAGCATATTCTCATATTAGCTTATCACACGAGCAAAGGGGAATAAGGAGGCAGAATAGTACATGCTAGCTGCAATGAAGGACATCAATGAAAATAACAACATGATTCTAGATGACAAGATAAATAACCATAAAATTTTAAGCAATACACAGGGTGGGATTACAATATTGAATGACCCACCAAATTGTAGGCCTAAAAGGATCTTTAATACAATATTGAAGGGTCACTAGAAAAAGAAGAGAATACCTAAGAGTAAGTTTTTCAGAACTCCTTATACATAGTGTGTGTACATGCTTTTATACTATGTGTGTACAAGCTTGTACACTGATCGCAGATTTGTATACAATGTTAACAGCTTGATTTTATTAACATAAAATAAACTTGTAGAGGCAACTGCAAAAAAAAAAAACTATTCACCTTCAAAACTTTTCCAAGAGACAACTGCATCGAGAGAGTGTTCACCTTCAAAGCAGATGAAGTTTTCTAATTTGCATGTATGCTTTAGTCATGAATTCATGCACAGGTCAGCTAGCAGTCAGCTAACATATGAGTACATGAGGATGATGATGAATATCATTATTTCAGAGTGACATTAACTTTAAATTTATAAATCATTCTCAAAATTGATTGTTCATTATAATCTTGTATTGAAGAATAATTATAATAATTGATTATTCTTTGTAATTATTGATGTTTCAATCACCATTCCATTTTTATTGTAATAATAATTGATTATTCAATCACCATTTATTGTTAATTATAATAATTAATGTTAAAAATTGTACATAAACAATGTATGTATTGTGCGTGTACATGTTTGCACACGCTTCTTAAAAGATTGTGGTGTAAAAGCCTTAAGGAAACCCTTGTACACACATATTGTACAAATATATACACACTATTTATAGGATTGTACACTATCATTTTCTGGACCCTCTTATATATAGACTATTTACAAGCTTGTGGTAACCGTGTATACACTATGTAGAATGATGTGCATATACTATGGTAACCCATGTACACTTATATTACTAAAAACATATTGATTAAATAAAAAAGTGTATAAATAAATTTATTAAAAAAAAAAACTATATAATTATACATAGCGGTGCATATAAATTAATACAAAAATAAAGATTATTACAAAAAAAACTTTATAAATTGTACTAAGTGATGAATGCAAAAATTGTATAAATATGTCATTTTATAGAAGAAGATAATAACGCGAAGGATAGTTTCACTCTAAATTGTGTCATTTTATCTTTCAAATCTTGATGTTCAGCCCCATCGATCACTTCATGCTGGACAAGCGCTTCCATATACTTGTAGATGAACATGCCAAAATCAAATCAATGTTATTTTTGTGGGTTGGAACACCATTAGCATTCTTGATAAGCCAGATTCGAATATCTAAATCAAATGAGCCCATATGTCCTCATGGAGTTTATTTACCTTTTAAAAAATAAATAAAACATATTAATTTTTTCTAACTAATTTTTACAAAGCTTAAACTCAAGTTTGGTCTCACTCATGACGTTAGAAAGAATAGCCCTGTGCCTGTCATTGGGTAAAAAATTAAAGAATACCCAAAGCTTTTCCTTAATAACTTCTACAAGAAGAGTCTAGTGCTATTCGTGACACAATGTTAGTAGAATGAGTTTGGCTTCTTAAACTGAATTTTGGTTAATATTTTCTATGCACATATTATTTAAGGCTGTGTAATTTTATCTTGCGTATGTCTTACATAAATAAAAAACCTTGGGTGATTTTTGAGGGAAAAAAATAATGTATAAATAATAAATGCATGAATTCTTACATAATACGAATAAGAGATATGGAGGAAGGCTTGATATAGACCAGATAATAACATATTCTTTTCGGCTAAGAGGGAGGAGAAAGCATCCGCTCAAGGATTTTTATTTGTATTATTTAAGAATTCAATGATGTTTTTATCTTTAATGAGTTCGTCAATTTCTCTTATAAACACCTTGATTTTCCCAGTAGTGTATATATTTTCTAGCCTATAACCATCATTAATATGATTAGACATTATATACCATTCCTATCTTATTTGGAACTTATACATATATAGTTTGTACAGGCTTGTACACAATGCGTACAGGTTTGTAAACTGTGTAAATGTATGTACACTATGTTATAGGTCAAAGCTTTGTACGCACATTGTATAACTTTGTACGTATAGTGTACAACTTTTTTTCACATTAAGAAACTATGTACAGTTGAAACTTACTTCTCATAAAGCTTTGCAAAATAAGAATCCATGAAAGCACATTTATCCTTAGTGATAAGCTCCCTGCCCTTAAAATCTCTCTTTGTGCTTGCTGAGACAACAACTTCAGGTAATGCATGCACATTAAAGACTTCATCAACTCTTGTCTCCTCACCTCCATTTCGGCTACTGGCAATCCCACTTCAATATCTAAATTTAATACCACATTTTTCTTAATTCTTTTCATCAAGTGACATGTTGTGCAAGGTATTCTAACAATTTTCTTTTATTGTTTAATTCGATTCTTGACAGTACTAGCTATAATACAAGTTGACACCTAAGTATAAATTGAATATTATATATATATATATAACGTGTTTCAATGAGTGCTTCCTCAAATGTCTTAGTGGATGATCGATATTGCTAATGAGAGTGAGATATATGGGTTCCATGAGGGGAGATTGATGGGGATTGCTTGGGAGACTAAGCAAGATGGGTTTTAAGAGGGGAGACATATGGGGCTTGCTAAGGAGAGTAAGCAAGATGGGTCACGAGGAGAGACTCGATGTGGGGTTGAGAAGGTAGGATGTGTTGGGAAGGTTTGTGAGGTTAGGAACACCTCCTGGAGCAAAGTTGTTTCCTCTTCAATAACACATTGGAATGAATTACAAATCTACACATAAATGAGTCCATTGTTAGTTGAGCACATCAAATTACATATCCTATTTTGTGTCAAGATTCATGTGAGCCAAGTTATCCTTAAGATTCCTAAAAAGGCTGAAAACCAAGATGGCTATAAAATGAATGTGGCTTCCCCAACGAAGGAAACAATGTCTTGTGTTAGCCAGTGTATAGTGAACAACATGTGTGCTCCAAGAACTAAATCTATATATGATCAACACATATTATTTATAAAAAAGTAATAATTAGAGGGATGAAGATGTTGTGCAGACTCATCATTAATAAAGGAACAAATCCACTCAAATAACTTAAGATGACATAATCAACAAATTTCATGATCGTACAATCAAACTAAGGAACAGAGAAATCCTTAATAGTTATAGCCCAATTGAACCCTATTAACTCATCTATACTAGGGCAATACTAATGAACCTCTTTGGGGTTCTGTAATTATTATTGAAAAAAAAAGAATTGGACAATAGAAACTTGATGTACATATTTACAATAACATTATAGGGGGCTTGTTCTGTCAATGCTCTTCATTTCATTTTTGATATCAATTATAATATATTTGGTTAGTGTCTTAGTTTCTCAATATATTATTTCATCCCTATTTGACAGTCCGGTCATTAAAGCCATTTCATATATGATAAATCATAGCTTACGCCCCTTTGATCATGAATTCTTGCTTGGGCACATCTCAAAATGATACCAGCATGTTGATAAGTGGTGTAATTTACTGAAATATAATGAATTACCTAAATAGGAATATGTTTAACATCTTTAAAGTATCATCGACTTCATCACGTAATATCATTACCAAAGAGTTACAGACAGCTCTAATTGTTGAGGGTCTGCAATGAAAATAAATCTTTGGGATATACATCTGCAACGAAAAAAGGTTAATATGTGTATTAATTTATCTTATACAAACACATAACTACTACAAGATTGTATATAATGTGTACTGACTTGTATACACTATGTGCAAGATTATACACACTATGTATAAGGGGATCTAAAAATGGATAATGTGTGTATAACTTCTACACAATGTACAAAAAGGAGAATTAAAATACACTTCTATACAAATGCAGACAACATTTAGATAAAAACATAAAATATAGCAAATGAACGTATAACAATGTAACCAAGATTTGATTTTGCTACTTAACTGCTTCAATACAAAATATAAAATGTCAATTTGTGTATTATTTTATCTTATACATAAACTGTACAAGCTTGTAAAACTAGAAATTATTTTGTGCGGAGTCAAAACAGTAAATGTAGGTTTCAATTGTAAAACAAGAGATTGTAAAACAGGGTGTACGAAATGCCAGTTATAGAGAAACCCAAAATAGTAAATATAGGTTTACCATTCATGGCCTTTAAAGTGTTGATATTGAAATAATGGAGAAATGGTATAGTCCATAAATTTTAATTTTACATTAAAAAATCATAAATTTAATTTGACGGTCGTAGTAAACCCTAAATAATAAAAAGGATGAAGAGAGCGATGACAAACATTGCCTTTTTTATGATAAATAGTGCCTCATATGAGTGAAGGTGACGAAAGCAATCGATCACGGATAATTAAAAAAATTCACTTAACAATTTTCTGACCGTAAAATCATAAAACTTTTGCATTTCCATGCAATTTCAGAAGTGAAGCCTTATTTTTTTTTAAGAAATATTACCTCCGAACCTTTTCAGATCATCTTTCTCATAATAAAAAAATATTAATTAAATTAAATGGATCAAAGCCATTGGACCAAAGATCAGAAAACATCATTTTTATTCTTGGGTAGAAAACTCTATTCCCTTAGACATTTTTGTAATGTTTATTTTATTTTATTTTATTTTTTATTTTAGAGGAATAACCGAACGAACCCTTATCGGAGTAATTTACCCCAGGGGCTTCGCCTACGAAACCTCGCGCACGCATACTTCGTTGCCGTTCCGGTGGTAGACTCACTAAGTCCTACAGCGACGGGGAACTCTGCGATCCGTCGTCGACGACGAAGGATGAGTGGTGGCTCATCTCCCGCTCACTCCTCCGCCACCGTCTATGGAGCCGGTAATGTTGGCTCCTGTGCCTCGTTTGACCCTGCGCTTCTTCGCTCCGATCCACCGCCGCCCATCCATCTCTCAGCCGACCAGCTTAAACACTGTTCCGATGCCTTAGTCGCCCTCAAGAGGAAGCTCCGGACCCCGGGAAAGATTTCCCTAGAATTCGATCGCCTCCAGGTCGTCCTATTATAACATCCCTTTTTGGGTTTCCCTAGCATTTAGGTTTTGGGATATGTTGTATAGGGTTGCAAGCGTAGTTAGATTTCTAGTTTTATTTCATATAAATGTTTATTAAAAAAGTGTCAACAAAAAACCTGAAGAATCTTACATTAGTTTGCAAACCAAATTTTGCATCAACTTATTCTGTCTCACAATTACTTCATGGCCAAATATATCCGAATGTCTTTCTTATCCACTGTAGCCCTACCATGACAAGAACATTGTGAGGTCTTCTTGCAGAGCATTTTGAACCACTTCTAGTGGTTCTTTGACAATATCAATAGCATCATGTGCAGGTGATCTTCAAGGTCCGACCTGCCCATCACCAAACTTGTATTGTTGTTATAGATTTTGTGTGTGATCCTTCTTATGATACTAAAACAAATTGTCCTTTATATTCTTTGAGGTAGTGTCAGTCATAGTTCAATTAGTCTAAATATTAGATAATAAAGGTCTAGGATTAGTAGTAGACCTTTGTGCTTGTTATGTGGAAAATTGATGCTTAGGAGTTTTATCCTTGGATTTAGATATATATGAGGCATAATCAAAGGCATCCTCTAATGTCTGAAGGTTTTGTAGTTTTATTTCATTCTTGTTATCTCCTCTAAGACCAATAAAAATTTATCGACCAACTGTCAATCCTGAGCTCTGCAATTGGTCCTAGCTACAAGATCTTCAAAGTGTTTATGTATTCAATTATTTGCATACTTCCTTGTTTTAAAGTCATCAATTTTTCATGTAGCTTCTTTTCATGATTTTTAAGACAATATTTGATCCTAAGCATCTATTTTATCTTCACGCAAGTAAGATTGTACTACTAATGCTTTTTTCCTTAGCCAAAATATTGTTCCATTAGATCTTAGAATGACCAATAAGTTTCATTTTTGCAAATGTTGTTTTTTGATAATCATTCATCTAATAGCAGTCTAGCTACTCATCTATTTGGGTGAGCCAGTCTAAGAACCTATTTTTGGTTATGAACTCCATCCTAGATTGGGGCTTCTACGTTAACCTTTTTTGTTGTGTTGTTTCATTTATAGATTCATGAGGCCTAAGGTGGTTATTCTTATGAGGATTCCAAAAAGGATGTCTTCTAAGTGGATTTTCATCTCTAGGATTGTCTTCAATTTTCTCATATAGATTGCAAAGCTCAACAGATTGTTTACCAAAAGTTATTCTAGGTTCTAGGGTTCAGATTTTGGACCTTTTTTATTAAGTTTATGGCCATTTCTTGAAGCCTATTGAATTTTTCCTCATTTTGTATGGCACTTTCTTCAATACTCTTAGTTATCTATTTGATCTAAGCTAGCTAACTTTGGAGGCATGTTTGTTGCAATGAATGTGCAATATAAATGATTTCAAATACAAATATATATTTTTAAATATGTAAAATAATCAGATTTGAACACTAAAAGATGACACAATGATTTTCAAAATTAATGTAGCCTTCAATCTAACACAAGATAACTAGAAGGAATGACATTAATACTACCACAAAACCCTAAGTAATATAACTTCAACTTTTAAATGTTTTTCACACTTTAGGTCAAGTCTTTATAGTGATCATTCACTTATCAAATTTGATGCTCAAATGATGTAAGTTTATGGTTAGTTTAATAAGATAAGACTAAGTTTAGTGAGGGGCGTCAACTAGCAGAACTACAACTGTTCATAGGATTGCTTACCACATGCATTCTAGCAACAATTTTTGTAATGAAAAATATAATATCAATAAACGATGTTAACCAAGTCCAACTTACAGATGCTAACCTTGTTAGGATTTAATTTTCACCACTTCTAAGTGCTTTCTTCTTCCTCCATATTGAATGGAGTGACTAGTTGCAATCTCCTTCAACCTGGCTCTGTTACTATTGGTGACCTGATGTAGGACCACTTGGAGAGGCTCAAATTGGTTAAGAACCCTTCCCGAGAGGTGTTTTGGTGTAAGAAATAGATTGAAGCAGTTCCTTTTATGGTGGAATGGAGGATGGGATTACAATAGGGGTTAGCCTACCATTTAAACTAGTCAAATTTGAGAGCAAGAGTTTGTCTTCAAATGATGAGAACAGGCTTGATATTCATCCAAAATTCATGAAACCACTTATAGTATTTAAATGAAGTGTCTTGTTATAATTTGAAAATTTTCATAATTATTTTGAATTTTATTGATTTTTGTAAGGAATTTTGAAGTTATTGGGTCTTGCAAAATCCTAATCTGGCTAATTTTTTATGGATAGGATTTTGGCTTTAAAAACTCAACAAGGATGGTGGAACTTTTGGAAAAAACACTTGTATGTGGGAAAGGGATGTATTCAAAGTAAATCTAAATTTTTTTAATAATTTTTGTGAAGATTAGCCATTACTTGGCCGATAACTCAAGAGGGGATTTAACATGAGATTATGGGAGATAAATTGTGATTTTTGATTTCTAATATAAGAACATAAGAGAATACTTTCTAAATAGAAAATTTTTATAAATGCAACAAGATACAAATGCATTTATTCACCAAAGTGAATTGATAGGAAGACCACCAAGCTCTCCCTTTGGTGGACCATCATGCGTAACCTCCTTGTAATTTAAATCCAAATTTTAGTTTTCAAAACATTCTAAACTTCATTCCATAGAGAATATTATCTTGTATAAGTGTTTTCAAAAGTTGCTATTCAAATCCAAAATAGAGGGAGTAGTTGAGTGGTTGGTTGGCCCCCCATGGAGCCCACATGTAAACACATTGCAGCCACCATGTTCGACTCCACCTTTTTTTTAAATATTATATTTAATTAAGGAATTAATTATAATTTCTATGCCCTCTTGTCAATTTAAATTTAAGTTTCAAAAGAGACTTTAAACTTAATTTTATGTATACATTTATCAACCAACACACATAAACTACATAATATTAGCAACTACATAAAGTTCACATAACATTTAAATAAAAAAAAATTCAATAGGAAAATTTTCTAAATTAGGATCTTTATCTTGTTCTTGTTGTTGGTTCTTCCTTCTCAATTGTAATTTTTTATTTATTGAGCCATTGTAGTTGGACCATTCGAGACATTCCTTAAAATCTAAGATTATCAGTTTATCCTTATTTAAATCAGAATAAACTCAATTTTAATTTTCATTAAAATAAATCAAATTAAAGAAATACAATTAAATTTCTTGAATTGGTTTGGTTCAATCTAGATTTTTTTCCTAGCCACAATTCTTGATTTGGGCTCATGTGTTGCAACGGTTCTACACGTCCCCTTAAGGTCGAATGTTTAATCATTGATATGAACTATGATATGATGCACCGACATGTCTCTTTAACGAGTTATGCAATGTCTGACATGTATTGAGCATAATATGTGTTTTTGACATGCATAAGACACATGTTGTACACGCGTTGAAGATGTGTTTGATTAAAAAAAAAAATAAAAACAAATTGAACACGAATGTATGACACTTGGATGTTAAATATTTTATGAATTTTTTAAAAATATAATTTCTTGTATTTTAAAATTTATTTATTAAAAAAAGCTAAATTTTTATTGCTTCTGTACAACCCCAAATCAATCGCCTGCGTTAAATGCCCATTTCAAGAACATTCCTTTCTTCATTTCTCTCTTGAGGGTGCGACTATGGTTTCACAATGACACCTAATGCTATCTCAACATTGACAAACAATGTCGTTAGAACATCAATGTTTCAAAACCATTCTAAAATCAATGTTTGACGTTGTATTTACATTGACGCTCGACTCCAACAATGTTTACTCTTAATCATGCCCTCATGCAGTCTCGACATCAAATGATTGTCCAACGTCATATCAATATCGATGACCGACCCTTGATGCCCATTACACAACATTGATGCCTGAATTTCGACAACATTGTCTTCTCCCATCTTGATGCCTAACATTTGAAATCCTAATGATAATGATTTTGAGCATAAGTCCTAGTTAAATGATTTATTATTTATGAATTATTCTTTTATTTTGCTTATGCAATTTCAATATGCTATTTTTAAGATATAAAAATTATAATACCTTGTCCAATTTGTATCAATGTCCTATATTTTCAATAATTGACATGTCACCTATCTGTGTCTGTGCATCATATGCTATGAACTTATGTAGGAGAACTTGGATGATCATGTAAGATTTAAAAAAAAAAAGGAGAATAACCATGTCATATTTTTCTTGTTGGAATAAATTTAATTTAGATGAAGTGAATTGAAGGGAATAATCTTAAAGGGAAAACCTCTCCTATGCATCCGTGAAGCTTTTTATGAGGTTAGTGTGAATAATGTAGAAAAAGGGTACTGATTAGCAAGACAACACCTAATATGTATTCTATGATTGAAAATTTTGCTTTGTTCTTTCAAGGATCGAATGTTGACAGAGAAAAAGAAAAAAGAATTCATGTTATGAGCATTGCAAAAAATTATGTCACAAAGTGAACATGATAGAAAATTCATGAAAGGCAACAATTGATGAAGAAACCCTATGCAAGGTTTTAAATTGTGATTAAAGATTCTCATGAGCAATCCATCGACTTGGAAACATCTTCTATCACAAAAGAACAAATAATGCACATGCAAAAACTCTTTTTGAACTCTCTAGAATTTATATGCCCTCCATGTTCTTTGGCATAACAAGGTAAAACAATTGCGTTTTCTATAAAAAATTAGGCCAAATGAAGGGATTTTTGACTTTTGAGCAATTTGATCATATGACAAGTTGCTCACCTTTATTTATTCCTATACACCTTTTGTTGGCAACAAAAAATTAGAGTTGCTGATGTGTCATTGGCTATACTCAGGATTGATTCAGTTGAAATTTACCCCTTATTTACTTGTCATAATGTTTGTCATGTTTCAAATTTATCATTCAATCTCTTATGAATTAGTAAATTAACTCTTGATCAGAATTGTCATTGTTAATTTTTATCCATTTGTTATGAGTTTTAGGAAC